TTTCGTCGCCAAGGTTTGCGTTGTCTAACAATGACAGCAGGCATCACTTTCTTCCTCAATTCAGGTTTCCCTTTCTTGACAGTAGCCATCACCATATCACCTACACAAGCAGATGGCAACCGATTCAACCTACCCTTTATACCCTTCACTGAGATAATGTAAAGGTTCTTCGCCCCAGTGTTATCAGCACAATTCACCGTCGCCGCCACCGGTAAACCCAGTGACATCCGGAATTTGTTTCCGGCAGACCCTCCACGCCCTAAACATCATTTTACAAAAAAAAATAAAAAATTAGGGAAAATCGAAGATAATTGAGAACGATCTTCTGAATTTGAAAGCAACATGAAGTAAATTTACCTCGCTTCGACATTTTTGGATGCTGAAAGTATGGTGATTTAGGGTTTTGCTAGGGTTTTATAGAAATGGCAATTTAGGGTTTTAATTTGAAGAATGATTGGTTATGGACTCTATTTGGGCTTGTCACATACAACTTGAGATGGGCCAGACAAATTTATTTTGGTTTAATTACACAAATCTCACGTTTTAGTTTACTTATTACCATTATCTCCTATAAGTTTTACAAATCTCTAAAATCCCTCATTTTCACGCTTCAGATTAGTGTATCTCGCGCATCAGATTAATGTATCAGCGCATCAGATTAGTGTATCTCGCGCATCATATTAGTGTATCATGTATAAAATGTACATCAGATTAGTGTATCATGTATAAAATGTAATGTATCTTACTTAACAATTAATATATCTCGCGCATCAGATTAATGTATCAACACATATATTATTGTATCCGTTTGAGGAATTTCTGTAATTATAAATTTTTAAGGGATAAATTGTAATTTTGCCCTAAAAGTATGTGATTTCTGTAATTTGCCCATTTATTTTTGTTTTAAGAGAAAGTTAAGAATATGTGTGGTTCAATCAACTAGTTTATTAATAGGAAAAATTAGAGAAAATGATCAAAATGGTCCTTGATATATTGGGGTTGCTTTGTTTAGATCCTTAATATATTATAGGTGATTGAAATAAATGTGTTCAATTTAGTTTTTTACCCTAAACTTAACAATTTACCCCCAAAAACTGTTAAATATAACGGTGGGGGACACATAACTTACAAAATTCACCATTTTTACCATCTTTATTAGCTCAAAGAAAGAGTTTCATGAATTCTAAAACACCATTTTCTCTAAAAATTTCTACGATTTGAAAAAATTACAAAAATCTCTATTTTATCTTATTCTCGGATACATCACTTTACGCGATGTAACAGTCGGATACATAACTTTACAATGTATCAGGACGTTGAATGATGTATCTAAAATCGAAAAGTGATGTATCGAGATGTATCGAAACCGGGATGCGTTGTATCAGGACTTTTTGGGATGTATCCGGATTCCATCAAATTTAAGAATTTTTGTAATTTGAAAAAGAGTAGGGATAGGATGTATCCGAAATCGAGACAAATTGTATCAGGACGTTTTGGGATGTAACTGGATTCCACCAAATTTAAGGATTTTTGTAATTTGGAAAAGAGCATGGAGAGGATGTAATTAGTTTTTAATACTATGAGATTTGTGTAAAATTATCTTATTAATATGACCAACGAGGATTGTGACGGAGAGGTAAACATTTCTTTATTTTTAATTAGAGGTCTCGGTTTTGAGTCCTCTTAATTATGAAGTTGTCTTTGTTAGGGAGCTTTACTCCCCATCGTGGGACTTTCTGACACGAATTCGGATTTAATCGGGCCTCAATATGGGTATCAGACATCATATGGGAAACCAAAAAAAAAAAACTAGTTTATTAATATGGCTTAAAACATATACCTTTTGGTTCCATTTTATGTAGCATTGTTTGATTTGATACGATCTTTAAAAAAGAAAATTTTCTTTTAAAACTTATGATCTAAAACAATCATCACATATATCACATATCTGTGTGATTATAATTAATTTCATAAGAGATAGAAGAAGAATTATAAAGTTAATTTTTATAGATTACGAATGGTTAGCATCATGAGTTTATTTGGGATGCTGATATTTTATGGATTAATTTGGCATAACCCCAAATCAACTCATCATCAAAATTAATTACTCTGGCTCAAACTAATTAAAACTTTAGCAGGTTAGCCAAGTTAAATGATTTTGTTCAATTATACCACCCTCATTATTTATATTTTATCACTTATTTAAGTATAACCTTGCAAAATTATCATTCCAAAAAATATTAGACTCATATTTTACTCAATCTGACAAATAAAATACTATACTAATGTCAAACATTTGCAATAATTTATACAATTCTAAATCAGATATCTAACATTTTCTCATAAAGTTTTCAGTTTGCTAAGAATAAGTATTTAAATGGTGGTCCAAAAACTTCATGAACAATAAAAGAAACAAAGAAAGACTATTATTTACTAATAATATGTAGGTAAATTTGAATGCTTGCATATGCGTTAAATACCTAGTTAGGTTAACAACAATGACAATAACCTATTATTAAGTAAAATTTCACAAGTGACGTTTGAGAAAAACATAATATACGCAAATATTACCATTATCTCGTGAAGATAAAAAAATGGTTTCCGAAGAATCCTCGATTTGATGATACCTAATTAGGTTGATTTTCACATATAGTAAATTATTTGTCATTTATTGAGAGGCCATTCACGAGAGTTTAGCATCATTATTGAAAGAAGATATAGTGGGAAATTAACAAAAAAAAGAAGATTATTCCCTCTTCACGCGTTTTTACTATTTATAAATACACTATTTAAGAAAATAAATCCAATTTACACTAAAACTTTTGTTAGCACACACTTTAACCTAAAAAAGTAAAGGACAATAAGTTGAAATGAAAAAAAAAATCACAAAAAAGATTATAAAGTGTAATTTTATAAAGTTAATGGGAGGTTTCTATAGTTAAAACAAATGACAAGGACTTTCTCTCAGATATTAAACCTGTCATAATATTTGTATCGTTACAAAATCTTCTCATTCCAAAAAAAAAAACTTCTCATTAAGGGTATGGAAGTATAAAATTAATTGTTTTCAAATTTTAAAACGTGTTATTCATTTTGAACGAATTAAAAAGTTAAAGTATGTCACGTAAACTGAAACACAAAAAATACTTTGGATATTTGGTGGCGTTTTTTGTGTTGTAATTTCTGAGATTTTGACAAGACTTTCCTAGTTCACAGTTCCGAAAGATATTCACATCTAACAAACTTAAAGGATCGAAATTGCTCAAGAAGTATATGCAAGGGGTTATTTTGAACTTATCCCCAAACATAAAGGACCATTTTTGTAATTTTAACAAACTACAAGGACTTCATGTGTAATTTGTAAAACTTTCAAGATTATAAACTTAAGAAACTTAATGTCAATTAACCAAACACTATTTTGATTTCTCATTCTTGTGAATTTTTTTTCTAAGTTTTTCATTCCAATTTTATTTTTAATGGCAGAAGCTTTTGTCTCTTTTCTCATTGAGAGAGTTGAAGGTGTAATGAAAATAAACAAAGGTACCATTTTATGTGGTGCAAAAAAGTATGTAAAAGATCTCCTAACAGAACTCAAGAAAATGAAGCTTTTACTCAAAGATGCTGAAGTAAAACAAAATGAAAACAAAAAATTATGTGATATGATTGAGAATATTCGAAGGATCGCGTTCAAGATCGATGATGAAGTGGAAAATTACTACTTTGAGGTAGCAAAAAGTCGAAAAATTTGGTTTAAAGGTGTTATGGCACACTATAAGAGGATATATTATGGTAAGCAGAAGAAGTTTCAGTTGAGGATGGTTACATATAAAAGTCATGTGAAATGGTATATAAGGAAATTGGAATGTTATGGTGTGAAGAAGATAGTGCATGTAAAAGATTCATGTAAAAAGGTCGATAGCTTAGATAGATGGGAAGAAATTACAACTACGGTTAAGAAAATGGAGAGTGAGTTTGAAGATGTTGAGAAGTCAAAGTTTGTAAGTGTGTATGTGTTGAATGAGGATAAGGTGATGGAGAAAGCAAAGGTGTTGGTTCAAAGTTTTGAGAGAATTTGATGTTAGTGTCTATCTTAGCATGATGGGAGTTTGGGTGTTTCAATAGGAAAGAGATTATCAGAGTATAACACAAGATCGGCTTTTCTTGCTGTCATGGGGTCGACCTTTTAGTATTTAGTTGTTTCTTGACTTTTTAAAAAAAAAATGTTGCATGGTAATTAGTAAGTACTAGACTATTTTCTTTGACTATAGTTTAAAGTATTTGGACTTATTGTAAAGTTATTATCTACCTCATGACTTGCTTCATAATATGTTCTTTTAATTATAGTTGTTTATGGACTTATTTTGGTGTTGCATAGTATGACAGACAAGATTTACTAATATATAGTCGCTAGTGTAATTTAACATGTTACATTAATAAGAAAATAGATGTATTTATAAAGCTATATCGCGTTTACGCAAGGTCAGGGGAAGGGGTCACACTCGAAGGGGTGTAAGGTAGGCAATCAATTCTAAAACACTAATTCCACGGCTCAAAATCGTGACTTATATGTGATATGGAGACAACTTTATATTGTGACACAATCATCAATGACTGTTATGGCCTCGAAAATAAGTAGATAATTCTATCATGACACAAGCATTAATGACTAATTTCATGGCTCGAACCTGTCACACAGAGACTAGGCTATCCCTTCAATGCAAACTAGACAATAATTCATGGAAAAGATTTGTAACCTTGTGGTCCCCAAGTCACTAGCTAAATGCAAGGTTTTAGCACAACAATAATATATGGATACTCTGAATGTATTGCATTTTAGCAAAGAAGTGTAATTCAAGACTTTTATCAACCATCAACTCCATTAGAGGTTCGTGCCACACTCACGAGGGACTGAGATGTTGACGAAGTAGAGAGTTAAATGAGAGGTAAGAGTCGAAGGTGAGCCAATGGGCTTCTCAGTGTATACTGGGCAAGTAGGTATTTAAGAAGTAATATACTCAAATAAAACATGTTTTTTTCCAACATAGTCAAATGCAAACTCATCAACTGGTAGAACATAACATCAGCAGTTGTTTTTTAAAGAAAAAATAAAATTTTGCTTCTTGATTGAAGCGATCAACATCATCAGGAAGAAGGAATCTTCAACTGTGTTAACACCAGCTGTTCTTTTCCAGAAATAACAAAACTATGTTTCTTGTTTTACCTATATCATATCTATGTGAGCTATCGATGGGATCAGCATCATCAGTGAGGAGTAATCTTCATCAGTGTATACTTCCTCGCTCCTGCAAGTAACGGTATCTGATTAAATATAAAGATCGAATGAAGTAGTTCACAATCAGCAAGTATTTTGAAGTGAAACACGCGCAGGAATGGCTTTAAGTTACTCTATTCTACAACAAATGGTGGACCTAGTAAACATTTCTATGTACTTAAGGCTGGTAGGTAGAACTGTAAAGGAAGGAATATAATTTAATCAATTGGCAGATTGATTCTGGTCGCGAGAAGATATAAAGGGCAGGAAGAGATGTGTGTATAATACATATCATAAAGCTCTAGAGAAGTACTCAGGTCAATATGCGCATGAAAATAGTAGGCAGATTTCACTGCAGGGCGAGTATAAGAAAGAGAGGTAAAAAGTTGAACTGACTCTTCAAAGGCCGGTGTCACGACAAGATTTACTTCCACAGCAGCACTTGAAAGCTTTCACTGGATGACTATGATCGGTGAAGTCAATACCATAATCCTGCAATGTAGCAAATTTGTAATGATTCTTCGTATATACTTATCTTTGACTTAACTCATGTTTCCTATATCAAAATGACAAAGTTATAATAAAAGTTATAGAGTTCAACATAGATAGGGGCTTTACCCAAGTTAACTCTTCTAAAGCATTAACTTTCCTCATAGTGAAAAAAGCGACCTGCAGTGACATTAAAAAAAGATGCTTGATGTAGATAGTGCACGGATTTCTAAATAACAGAGAGATACTTCAAAAAGCGTTAAGAGAAAGATAGATAACAAGTACATGGTAGTAGTGATGATCTGGAGTCTCTACTTCAACTGGGATCTCAATCAAGTTACCTTCATAACATCTGGTCAAGATAAAATTACAATGTGGTTAGTTTCAGTCCACATTGCGAAGTAAAAAAGAATCAATGCACTTTTCTTGAATGTAAATGTGATTCTTAGAAACAATAAAAGCAAAGAACGAGCTGTTGATCATGCAAAGAACAAAAAAGGGACTTGTAATGGTGCTCTACTGGGGGTTTATTCCATGCCAAATGTACTTCAAAAGGAAAGCCATAACAAAAGTAATCAATTGATTATTACATCTCTACATGCAATATATGGGGTTGCATCTAATGCTTATCTATCAGTTTTCTTTCCAAACTTGAGGAACAAAGTAATCGAAACAAAGAGAAACATGTTGTTTGTTAGTAGGTAACAGCTGGTGGACATGAATATTATCTACTTTGTAGAAGAAGTGTACAAACCACATATCACCAGGTTAATGTAAGAGGGGAGAAGAAGAAAAAGAAGAAAGGCAATTACAAAGAGAAAAGGATGAACATTAGAGCCTAACCTATGATTAATGAACCTTGCAATATTGCCATAGTATGTTGCATCCAAACAAAGTGCCTCCTCATCCTTCAGGACACCTTCCGAACCCCAGTCTGCATCTAGCAAAACTGGATATGTGTGTCTCTCACCAGCAGTTTGCGTGTTTCGCTCATACAACTCTGTGTTGGTCACTATTTCTCCTACATATTCACAAACAAAAGCACCTCTAGGCAAATCCTCCAGTGCCCTGAGACCCCAACCTTTCCCATCAGCAGTCATAAACACCTGACATACAGGATAAGAATGTGTCAAACAATTTCTTACTACTCTAGGTTTCTTCAGAAGTATTGATCATGCACAAAACCTTTCTTTCCTTTTTGGATAAATCAGATATCATTTATATTCACACCAAGATGGAAAAAACAATATATACAATATAGACTATAGTTCAACCACAATAAATTACTTCCTCTGTCCCAATTTGTGGCACACTTACCCTTTTAGTTTGTCCCAAAAAGAATGTCACATTCATATAATTAGAAATAACTTAACTTTAAAATTCCCCTTTTATGTCACACAAGGGCCTAAGGTGTGTTTTAGTCCACATTTCAAAAGTCTTCCTTAATTTCTTAAATTTTGTGTCAAGTCAAAGTGTGCCACATAAATTGGGACAAAGGGAGCATCATGTTTTCCCAGACCAATAATTTAAATGACTACTCCTAACATCATTCTCACTAGTACTGAAACAATCTCCTATTTTTTATGTTCACAAAGAGCCAAAGTTATGGTACATGAAACTCTAGGTTTGCAATATTTTTCTAACCTGCAATGGCACTGCTATGCCTCGCTGAATAACACGATTTCCACATCCCCTGCTGCAGCCACATTTATGCCAGCACTCTTTGATAAATTTCCTCACCAGATGACCCTTGCACAGGCCAGACACGCTATTATTCTTAGACCTTTCAAGGGGACAGTCCTGACAATATACTAAACCATGCTTTTGGGGTTCACAACTCATTGAGATGCAACTCTCAAGAAACTTCTCCTTGAGCAAACCACCTGATGTGTAGGCAAATTCACCCCCTGTTTCACCAGCACAAGCACAGGGTATATCTTGAGACAAACAATCCCCGCTGCAGTTTGAACAACAGCTGTCATCTGATATACGAGCAAGAAGAAACTTCACATATGCGTTTTGGAAAATAACACTTTTAGGTATGTACTTAAAGACAGGCAGGACGTGGCTGAATTCATTAATCAACGAAATTTTATGCTCCTCTTGACCATTGGCGATGTCTTCAATATAATAAACAGAATTACGAAGACCAGGAGATGAGTGTTCACTTTGAACAAGCACTGAATTGTTCATAGTTGAAGAGGCAAGGAGTTTAAGAAGCTTGTTAGTGTTGTCCTTCTCAGCACCATTAATCCTTGTACCATTAAAATCCACCATATAGCACATTATATCCCTATTTCCTGAAGCTGGAAATGTTGGAATTTGAGGTAAGATTTTGATAAAATTCGACAATTTGAATGAGCCATTGCTAGTGTCTGGAGCAAAGTGCAATTCATGATTAGTAGCATCATATCTGACACCTACTGGGTGAAGTTTCTGAGACCCTATCCCAGCTGATGGCTCATTTACTGCCTTGGCCTTGGTGCCAACTGTCAGATAGCATTTACACAGATTTTCCATCAGACTTAGCAGAAAACCAGGTTGAGAAAATCTGTAGGACTTCATATACTTTTCCTCCATCCGCTTAAAGACTGCATCTAAACTTGGTGGACAAAAATCTGATGAAGAATATGTCTTATAGACAAAAGAGACTTTCACCTCCCCGTTTGGGGAGGAAGCAATAATTAGTCGTGATGAATTTGTTGCATCTTCTTCAGTTCCTTCTGTACCCAGATGTTCAGAGTTGAGACACTCCAAGTTTTGTTTATCAATTCCTTTCAATTCCAAAAAAATATGACAGAATTAAACTTCTAGACTATAGATAACATTCACATTTTGGTAAGACTTAGAATTTGACTACAAAACCAAGAGGAAAAGAACACAAAAAAAAAAGGATTCCCAACTTCAGACATACAATTTACCAACAAAAAGAGAAAACAACTTATGACCCCATCTGATTCAACAAATCTTATGTTCTTCATTCACATAGCTTTTTCCTTTTCATCAACCAAAAATATCATTTGGCTTACTATGAGCAGAAACTAATGTGTAATTACTATAAACCATAAGAATCTTACAGCTAGCTTGTATGAAAGACAAAGCTCAATCGAGAGAGGAAGATGTAGCTTTTTTGTAAAAAGCGTGTATACAAATATGATTTCACAACTTTGATTTGTATAAAGATCACTAGAGGCAGAACAAATTCATAGAATTTTCCCTCAGAAAATTGTAATCATTGAAGCTTCATAAAGAAGAAATACCAGTGGAGAATGGATTAATATATAGCAGTATGGCTTTGCTGTCTTTCTTTGGCTTTCATCAGTTAACACATTAGCTTCAAAAATATAGTTATTGATATTAGCAAGTTAACTCCTCCTATATTTCTCCCTTTTAGTCAATAATTTCAATATTCACGTCCTGAATTAGTGAATAATCACCAAAACTAGCATACATGACAGTCAAAAGAGACTTCAAAAAGAAAATACATCTAGAGAATATCAACAGAATGGGCATCAAAACTCACAAAAAAGAACAACCCGTTCACAGTTTCAAAGTAGAACCATGTCTGGTGAGAGAGACAGAATAATCTTATTAATAGTTAACTCTACACATTGAAGGAATACCTGAAGGGAAAATTGCAAGAGGAACATCAAAACCTGGCAGGTTATCAGAAAGTGGGATAGCATCACTGAAGCCATACTGAACCAGTGCACCTTCATTGGATACATCAGTAGAACCCATGACGTTTGGCTCTTCCAGGCTACTATTATAAGCTAATCTTCTTTTGGGTATCACAGCAGGATATGAACGAGATGTATCTCCCCTTTTCTTTAATTCCAAATGAGATGACAGAGTACAAGGTCCTCGCATGTCATCATCAGAGAGTAGTACAATCTCATTATCCTCCTCTGAAACAGGAGAAGCCTCTGAAGAAATCTGCTTCTTACCTTTGCGCTGATAATGGTTCAAGAGAGAAAGACGCTTCAGTTCAGCATCCTGAGTTTCATAAGACTCGGTGGTGATTTCAGCCATCTTCTGCTTGCTGGAAGGCTGCAACTCTGAAGTACATGCGTCAGCACTAGGGCCGGCATTGTGTTTAGCAGGTGAAGAATGATTTCCCTGGGAGTAGAGCCTAGATCTTTTCAATGGTGGTTCATTTTCTTCCGGTTCATCTTCCAATGAGGATTTCTGCTTTTCCTGATCATCAGGGGAATTAAATGACATGCTTTCACATTGAAAATTGGAAGGAAAAAAGTAAAGATGAATGAGCATCCTATTTTTCTATTTGTGCATGATGTCAAGATACATATAAATATTACCACACATAATCTTTAGAAAGGATTCACATGTCACAAAGGTTATCATGTGGTTATGGACAATAGAAATAAGCACTGAATCATAATAATAACAATACCTTAGACTCTTCGCTGTCTATAGTAGACTCCAAAAGAACAGAATAATTCTCATCTTCAATAAGCTTCCAGTTTTTGTTGTACAAATTTAGAAGGTTCCTCAAAACTGGCTTCACAACTGTTTCACTATAGCCAAAAACCTTCATTGCCTCAAAGGCCTTTGTAACTCTAGACTTCGGGTTTGGCGCCATTTAGTATACTAATGTAGAACTTTAAGGAGCTCAATGAGGTTGAGGTATATCTTCTTCCTTTCAATGCCAAAAAAAAAAAAAGAGAAAACATTACATCTGCATTTCAACCACAAACAAGAAGATGCAGAAACAATGTCTGAATTTTACCAACGTGATGACTGGAATAATTTATGCATAGCATAATAACTTACTAGATGACATTCCATGTTGAACGGTCTTCAATACAGATCTATGAGGACTCCTAGCATTTTTTTCAGAAGCTAAAAGGAAGTACTATAGAATGTTGGTTTTATCAAATACTACATGAATTAAAAAAAAACACAGGATGATATTGTTAAGCATAGTGTAATAACCTCACAAGTGGGGTCTGGTGAGGGTAGTGCGTACGCAGCCTTGCCCCTACCTTGGGAAGATAGAGAGGTTGTTTCCGATAGACCTTCAGCTCAAGTAAAGTATAATAACAACAAGTATTGTTAAACCGATACTTCATCATGTGCAGAAATTCCTATAGAGCTAAGTCTGAGACAGTAGATGACTACTTGACTGCATAATAATCAGTTCATCAGTCATCATATATACGTAGTAATGCAATTTTCTCCCACAGTTCACTAAGTCATGTTTCATAACTGACGTCTTCTCTATTACTATTTCTTTTAAACATCTTCTCTATAATCTTTTTAAACAGGAGTAAGGGAAAAGTCATCTCATGACTGGAACTGGTGCAAGGCAAGGCATTCCACATTAACTATGTCCTTCAACCCCCTAACCCCCATTCCCACAACCCATAGTATTTTTCTAGATTATATACAAATGTTTTTAAAATAATATTTTTTGCTTACGTAACGGACACAAGAAAATAGGCATAAAACGCACTTATTTATTTATGTATTTTAATGACCTTGGTGTCCGAACCAGCTTTCACACACCTCAACTAATTCCATGGGATACTTGCCTCCCACCAGCAACAAGTACTAGAAAACTCTGTCCACCAAATCTAGGACAGATGGGGAAGAATCACCTATTATTTTTGTCTCCGCTGAAATTTGAACTTGAAACCTCATGGCTCTCGACCACTTCATTGACCACACAAGACACACACTTGGGTGCAAGAAACCGACTTATTTTCCTAAAAAAACATTTTCCTTCATACCGAACACACCCTAAACCTAGTATACATCAGAAACAAAACTAATGAGATTTCACAGCATCAAAGAAGCAAAACCATTATTTAACAGATGAAACATAAAATAAAAATTACTAATCGAAACAGAACCATGAACACCTTAACATGGGGAATTCAGAATCAAATTTTATAAAAAGCAAAAATACAAAACAAAGAGAAAACAAAATGTGGAATAGCACAGATTCCAAATAAAGACACAACAAAGATTTTATTTTTTCTGCTCTGTTCTTCCTTCAAACACAACAACACCAACACAGAGTATGTGGTGCATCCAAACTGCTCCTCCCTAAACCAGAGGTCTCGGATTCGAGACAAAAAATTCTTGATAGAAAGTGAGAAACCAAACAAAAAAACACAACAAAAACAACAAAATACATTTTAAAAGGTAAAAATTTTTATATCATTTTCTTCATTTTTTCTTCTGCATGAAACCATTTTCACTCTCTAATATCAATGGGTTATATACCCCAACACAGAATCACTCAATGCAAGACTGACCCCAGTAGTTTTTCACCGAAATTCTTCCACAAATCCCAAAATATCAAATAAAGTATTCACCTTTTTACCTTAAAAAACTTGAGGATCAAGAAACATTCATGTGGACCATACTCTAACAAATCGCGTTCATCTGAATCCAGTACTTTTGACTCGAAGCTTAAATTTATTTGATGCAATAAATATGAACATATAACTTTATAGATATAATGGTGGGTCCAAACCCTTAAACTTCGAATTCTGAATTCGCCTCTCGATAATTAAAAAAAAGAAGGGATAAATCACTGTACCTTTTATGGAAAAGTTGGAGAAATAGCTATTACTTTAGCATTAAGAAGCATTTGGACTCCATCACAACATTCTTTTCAACAATGGTGAGAGATAAAAGCTCCAATAAAAATTTCCTATGAATATATAAAACCAAATAATTTAATTCTAAGTATAGTTAGTAAATATGGTTAACTAATAAATGAATTCATTATAAGAAAAATTTGGGAAATCTTATTATGTTGACCGAAAATGATTAAAATTGCCCTTAAACTATGTGAAATAGATTGTTTATACCTTCCGTTACATTTTGGGATCAAAATTGCCCCTGCCGTTAGGTCGAGAGGTTAGTCTTACTTGCCACATGACTAAAAATTTGAGTTTTTTTTTAACTTTTGAGGGTATTTATGATCTTTTGGAATAACGATAAGGATATTTTTTATCCCAAAATATAACGAAGGATATAAGTGGGTCTATTTTGCATAATTCGAGAGTAATTTTGACCTTTTTCTATAAAATAAATTGTATGACATTCTATTTTATTTTTCACAAATTAATGAAATCTAAATTTTGTACTTTGGGGCTATAAACTATGAATATATTTTAATAAAATAAAAAGAAGTTTCACTCGACTTAAGTTAATTACATAAAATGCGAATAAATTATTTTATAAATATCTATAAAAGAAAATAGTTACTTTTTACTGTCAATTGTATTACAACCTTCTGCCTTTTTCACTCCACCATTGACTCTGGCATTTCACAAATGAAAAAAAAAAAACATTTAAATGGTTTGTTTTTATTTTGGTGGAAATAACATGAAATAATTTTACTGATGTTGATTATAGGTTGAAATAATAGTTTCCTAAATTATATTTTCTTTCAGAAAAATATTTTTTTTGACATGCGAGTCAAATTAGATATAATTCGGTTTATATGTATTTTATTCGAAAAACTTAATTGACATGTATTTGCAATACACTAACTCTCTCCTCTCTCCCACGACCCTATCCTTCTCTATACTTTTATTTCACAATGTATCTTAGTTTCATATTTTTATGTATTTATATATTTAATATCAATTTCATATATCGATGTATTCAAAATCAATTTCATCTAACATATTGTCCATATTACCTTATTCTATTTCAATATATTGATATGGCCATTACCTTTCACTTATTAAAAAAATGGAAAAGAAATCGACATTTCTTTAATTTTGTAACGATCATTATATGTCTAGCGTAGTTATTATGTACGTGATTGAAAAATTGTTGAGATGTATTTCAAATTCTTCGATAACAATTAAAACGAAAGAATATTTATCACTTCATCACAATCTTTATTAGTCGCGACTAAACTTTGACCTAGTAGGATATGTTGACAGAATGAATTTGACCAATGTAGACCGTCTGATTGTTTCATCACGACCGTTGATTTTATAGATTAATCCTGACCACTCATCTTTACTGATCCAACGGCTCATATCACAACAGAAGATTCCCCAAATCTCTTATTTCCTGTTTGGGAAATCAGTCTAATACAAACAGAGGTTTACAGAACACAGTCTTTACCATTTCCTCTCAATTTGTCTCTTTTTACTCAAAACAAACACTGTCTTATCAGCTTTTTCAAAGGTAATACTGCAAAATATATACTCATAATAGGGGGCAAATTTTGAAATTATCTTACAGTGACTACACGACTACACATTTAATTTATTGATCACTAAGTCATACCCTTGAACGTGTAGTCGTGTGATTTGACACCAATGCTAGAAAAGATCAACTATAATCCCCTCATAATTTTACTGTATAATGAAGTAAGAATAAATAGCATTTTTCAGAGATCATCACCAACCAACTCTCTTTTTATGCCATTTTTATCGAAAAACGTAACCTTATTATATGTATATTTTTAAAATTCGTTTTGTATATGTATACATAGTTCAAGCCGAAAGCAATGAATTCAAACAAAACATGTCCAAATGCCTATACTACTTCCATAACAAGGTCACTCATCAACAAGCTTGCTACTTCCATATGTAGCACTCAATGCTACAATAAACGAAAGACATAATACATTAACATGACCCTTAACTTGACTTCAATAAACAACTATGCTCTCCAACTTTGAGCGTGCACAAGTAAGCACTTGTATAAAATTAAACAAGTAGACACACGTGTCCTACATGACATAATACACATAGGATGTCACGTAGGACACAAAATTGTCATGTAGAGTGCCATGTAGAACGAACATGTCTATTTGTTCAATTTTATACAAGTTTAAGTGTCTGCGTGTGCACACCCAAATTTAAAGGTCATAGTTGCCAGCTGACGCCAAGTTAAGGGTAATATTTATGTATTATGCCTTAACAAAAGCATGAAAACAATTGCAACATAAACATAAGGAACCGAAGAGTTTAACCAATGCCTAAACGAAAGCATGAAAACAATTGCAACATAAACACAAGGAACCAAAGAGTTTAACCAACCGTCTCCAGACCCCACTTCTGGGATTACATTGAGTACGTTGTTCTCGTTGATTAGCACAAAGAAGTTTGCAGGATTGAGTTTACCATTGACACAAAGTATGTCATCTTAGATGAGTTCCAAGAACATGTGTAAAGAAAGCATGGAAATGCAGTGATTCATCAATAGTCTACACTGTGAACATAACATCACACATGCTAAAATCAATGAGAGAGAGAGAGGCCTCTTACAATCAACGGTAGACGATATTGAAACATAACTGAAGTTTCCATTGATGCCTGAAAGTTGCACTAAAGATCAAAGGATCAACAAACCACTCAAAAATCAATGTGTTTCGACTTTCAGTAACTTAATCAACGGTACAAATGGATGTCCCCCCATCCAATAGACGATTTGTACACTGACCGCTGCTTCTAAAGTGTATCATTCATTACACTAACAAAATAATAATGTGAGCTAACAAACGAATTTCCTATCTAATAATCTATTAGCTAAGATAAATTAATGAACATGAGAGACAATCAGATGTTATATCTTCGAACCATTTCTAATGGTCGATTTGTCTGACTTCTTTTAAAAGTAGAGAACTATAACAACAGATACCATACTTTGTGTCATCTTACTTCACTTCCTGTACAGTTTCGGTCGTAGGAAAGGACTATGTCTATGAATGAAAGCAGCAGCTATGGCAAAAGACTGCAAAGCTGATAGAGTCGAATGAAAATGGATGTAATACAAACCATCATGAATATTCGACATTTTCATGACTGGTGCACTTTGTTTTGAACCCTGCAAGATCGGGGAAAAGAAAATCGGTTAGTGACATTTCAATGCTCCACTTATTCAAAAGCATAGTTGCTTGAAGAACATAAAGAACAAAAACTTATAATGACATAGACCTGTATATAGAGATCAAAAGTTTGACAGTCTCCAGATGTAGTTTGTGATGAAGCTTCATTTCCAGTGTTAAGAACTGTGAGGGGGCACCCGAGATCCCAGCCTCCACAATCACAGTGCCCACCAGAGCTCCACCGCTCCAACAGGCTTGACGGCCCAGCATGTCTGCTTCTAGGTCCACCGTGAAAACCACTTGGAATTATAACATCCGTGCTTGTTGAGCATTCACTGGTGCCACGTGAACGACATTCCACCGATATCTCAGGAGGTGCATTTTTACTTCCAGTCGGAGATTTCTTGAGAAACTTCATACCCCAGCCACCCTTCTCTGCCTCCTTGGAGCTGTCATTAAGAGGATCTCTGGTAACAATGGCAGCCAACTCAAAATTTGGCGGAATCTGTTGATCTAAAAGAGCATTGCCGCATGAATAATAATCATCATACATATCTATGGATGGCGTC